GTGATCCTTATTTGTGTCATTTTGCAGGCTACTGAGGAGTAGGAAGACATCTTTTTTCAGCTATTCAGTTAAAAGAACACATCTTAAGGGAGAACTTGTCAGACTCTGTCACACCAGAGCCCAGACAGCACAAGCAACCCTAGGCTAAATTACTTTAACACAATAAATTGGACTTTCTACTTCAGATGCCTGGAGAATGACACAAATAAGGATCACTATCTATCAACTAATGTTACTGGCTAACTATCAAAGAGATGAGCAGTCTGGGCATAGCAAAAGATGAGGTGGCAATAATATACATAGCTAATCTTTTTCTGGGTTTGAAGAGACAATATGTTAATTATAGCAGAGTCTGTGTCTAATCCTATTCATTTTAATGAGGCTTAGTCCCAGATAGGTTGACACTGTATAAGATTGCTGTGTTTAATGACACTGTAGATAGCTATTCTGTTTGCATATATGAACATCTTCCTAGTGGCAGGCTTCTGGGTTCAGATTTCTGCCACATAGTCTTATGACACTATAAAATGGAATCCTGTGAATAAAACTGCCATTCTGAATTGATTACTTGGTTATCAACCTAATTATGGTTTGGCTTTCTTAAAGTTCTAGAATGGATCTCTAATCTAGTTTTGATTGAGGTAACCTACATAACCATTTCCTCCAAACAGAATTTGCCAGTCTTGTTGATTCAGTCCACAAGCAGACATTCCAAATCCCCTTTCATTTGGAGCTTGGAGAGGAAACATGGTGGCCCTGCCTCTCTAGACCAATTTATCCACACGTAACGTTTTGTAAAAGAGTAAAAACCTGGCCTTTCCTGTTAGCATTTGGGCTTGGGGTGTTAGATGTTTTTAACTGTCTTATAAATAAAACATTGCACTGCAGCATCAGTACATTATAAACACGCAATATTTTTAAACTATATTCTTAACCTTACTAACCTGTATACTAATGCAAGTATGTTCAACATAGTGGCAACATCAGGGTGATCATGGCCTGAAGTTTTTTCAAGGTCTTCAAGAGCTTGCTTACAAAGTGGTACGGCAACCTCATATCTACCTTGGGAAGCATACTGAATGACAAGATTATGAAGGGTCCTTAATCTTGCTGGAATCTCATAACCACCTTGTTGGGCAGCTGCTGCTGCACTGCTATGTGGCTGTTGAACTGGAAACAAAATAATCAGAATAAGTCCATTAAAGGTTAGTTTCCAATCTCCTGGAAGCTCATAAAAATATGAATGTTCCAGAAGGACTTTGGGACTTGACAGCTATACATTTCTCAATGCAGATATACTATACAATTTCACCCATCATTTTATANGACAGACCTCTCCAGAGTATCCTCCAGGATACTTACAACCCAATTCTAAAGTTCCAACAGCCGCCCCCTCACAGTCACATTTTAAGCACTTGGGAACCGGCCTACATGGCAGTTTGCAGAATCCTGTAGTCACATAATCATATTTTATGATATTTTTGCCAAAAACCAGCATTTCTGCAAGTTATTATAGAACATTAAAATATTTGTTTCGCCAAACCAGATCATAACAAACAGTTGGTTCACTTGATAATCCCAGTGGTCACAGTGTTCACTTAACAACCATCACAAAAAAGGTTGCAAAATCTGGTCAATCATGTGAATGACCTGCTTTATAACTGTCATAACTTACAACATAATGGGCAGCTCCATTTCAATCATGTGGGGACTACCTGTACTGCCAATATTATAACTGTAAGGTATCTTCAACAAATATAGCTGAGGGCAATATTTTAAATGTAATGATATTCTGATTCACAGTAATATTTCTTTATTGAATTCTAAACTAATTTTACTGGCTTCATTTGTAATTATTGTGTTGTTTGCTAAAAGTATGTGGGAAGTTGTTGATATTATTTTAGGAGGTTTTTTTTGTATATCACACAAAACTAAATAAATGTTACCTTTTCTCTGATTTCCAAAGCTCTCTTACACAAAGGTTCAGCTTCCTTGTATTTTCCTCTTTTCCCATAAAGTACAGCAAGATTATTTAAAGTTGCTGCAACCTGCAAGAAAAACCAAACACTAGATCAACTATTACACCTGCTGAAATGATTTTTAAGATAAATAGGTCACATACTTATATTTTAGTATACTTCAAATGTAAACAATTCAGTTTTTTGAACTGTTTATTCAAGAAATACAATTATAGACAACTGTTTCAGCAGAGGAATATACTATACACTTGATGCATGCATGAATAAAATAATTTAAATAAATAGAGCTGTATTCAGTTATTACAAATTCAAAACAATTGAAGGTCCTCTAACTTCAATTATGTTTAGTAATAAACTTTAAAACATTCCTTTCAAATTCAACATTAAAATTAAATTTTAAATAAAAGAATTTGTGATGGGAAAAACAAAAATCTGCTCTATATACAGACCGCAGGATGATCTTTTCCTAGGGTCTTTTCACGAATGGCCAGGGCATCATTCAGTAAATTTGCTGCATCTTTGTATTTATTCTGGTCTCTACATTGGGAAGAAATCATTAACATACACTAGTTTATAAATGCTTTATATAAATATTATATAAATATTCAACACTTCAAAATATTGCATGTAGCTGTTTGTGAAGCTAGCAATGAACCTTTACAATAGGATTTTGTGGAACCACCATAAGCATTGGTGAAGATAAAACTAAAATAAAAGTGAATCCAGTTCTTGGGTTTAACTACCAGACATAGCTGAATTAAAACTATATACTACTTAGCCTTGTGGAAACCTATAAAAATAAGAGGATTTTTTTTTAAAAAAGTAACATTAATGTGCCTGGAATAGTAGAGCTAATAAGACTTGTAAAATTCTAGCTTCTAGGTTGAATAGCTCATTTAGTGGTGGGGGAGGGGACACATTTTGCAGGCTACTGAGGAGTAGGAAGACATCTTTTTTCAGCTATTCA